ATGTCTAAGAAATGCAGTTTTTAGACAGCCTGGAAATTGATGATGATTACTTTAAGGTTTTACTTTCCTTATAAATATAATCTGTAAATGTGACAGAATGTTTCAACATGCTTAGACAGAAGCTGATTCTGATTTGTAAATATCTAAGAAAATTCAGCACATTTATTTTTCATATTATAGGCAGATGAAATGCCAGATATAGAGAATATAAAAAATAAATTTAAACTATTTTCAGTTCAACTGAATAACTGCACAAAAGAAACTTTTAAACTTTTCTTACACAAATATATGACATACATGTTTATTGTCACTTGTTAGCTGTATGACTTTAGGCAAGATCTCCTTGCCTCAGATCTAGCTATGAAATGGAGATGATAATGGTACTTACCTCATGGAGTTGTTGTGAGGATTATATAAGTTAATTCACATAAAGTCTTGGAAGAGCACCTTCATATAATAAGAACTTAATGAATGTTTGAAGCTATTATTAAATAAATTTGTGTCTTTATTTAGTATTGTTGTTACTCACAAGTCTTGAATTTGAACTGTTGCTAAACATTTAGTTTTTTTTTTTTTTAAACTTTCTGTACGGTGTTCTTATATAAGAATAACCTGTTGAATTAAATTTGTTTCCTTTGAAGAAATCAGTTCATAGTTTTGATGCTACACGCACTACAAAAGTGAATCTATTTTAAGCAACGGTGAAATCTCTTTAGGGACTACAATTTCACGCAGTTAGCCTAACCTCCATTTCATCCTTCTATGCTTTACACACAAGTAGCATTCAGCTTCTGATAGGCTAAAGCTTAAAATTTGCCACTGTTTTGAATAATGCTTAAGCTGACTTCTAAATTACTCTAAAGTTGGCTACAGAATTTCATGTATTATTTCTTAGTAAAAAGAGCCTTATTCAAGGGCGAAAACTTATGAAATATTGTAAGCTAAAGGCTGGGGATTCAGAAACATTAAAAAAAATAGTTCTGAGCTTCAAAAAGCATGGAACACTGGAAGAGAAAGAAAGCCAGACATCATATACAATATAATGGAGTTAACTGCAAATCACAGGCACGTTTAAGTGCTTTGGGAATGCAGTGGTGGTTGGTGGTTTAGTTGCTAAGTCATGTCCGACTCCTGCGACCCCATGGACTGTAGCCTACGAGGTTCTTCTGTCCATGGGATTCTCCAGGCAAGAATACTGGAGTGGGTTGCCATTTCCTTCTCTAGGGTATCTTCCTGACCCAGGAATCAAACCTGGGTTTCCTGCATTGCAGGCAGATTCTTTACTGACAGAGCTATGAGGGAAGACCTAGGTGTAGCTTAATGTAACTTGGAAGTGGCAGTGGTGGTGGCTAAGGAGGAGAAATTGGGGAAGACTTCCCAGAAAAGGGGACACTTGAGCTAAATCTTTAAAACAGCTTAAGTAGAAGTGGTATACTCTAGTAACTGAGGGGAAAAACCAGTCTGTTCTTTACCTAAGAGCGCATCATCCATCTGCTCCCTGGTGTAACTTCTCACATGGCTACTGTGGCAGCTTTTGTGGCAGTTCTTACATTATTCCACAATCCTAGCTAATAACTGGTTAGTGACCCAACTTTAGACAATCCTTGTCTAAAATACTTCAAAGACCTAACAGGAGAAGAATTAGTCCTTTTCTGGTGGGAAAAGCTGTAAGATACAACAAGCAAGAACCGGCAGTTACATGTTTTCCCACCACAAGCGAAGAGTCAGTCAATAGTGAAGAGAATAGTTCCTTCCCTTCCATCATAAGGTTCTATGTACAAAAAGCAGAAGTCACGTACACTACTTAGTAAATACTAATAGAACCAATATTTAAACATTTTTCTTTCATTAATTTACCGTTTTCTTACTTTAAGTTACAAGTTAGTACACAGGCTTTCCTGGTGGCTCAGTGGTAAAGAATCCACCTGCCAATGCAGGAGACATGGGTTCGATCCCTGGAGAAGGAAAATGGCAACCCTCTTCAGTCTTCTTGCCTGGGAAATCTTGCGGACAGAGCCTGACAGACTACAGTCCATGGGGTCGCAAGAGTTGGATATGACTTAGTGACTAAAGAACAACAAATTAGTATGCTCTTAATAATTCAGTCAATATCCTTATGAATGTTTGTAAATTGTACCTAGGTACACAGTTATGAGCAAAACTGGTTAAAACAGTAGTAAATCAGCTAACCAAAAAATCTTGTTCTAGTTATATTTGTGATGTTTACTTAGGTCCTTTACGATCAAAGGTGGGGGAGAAACAAGACCAAATACAAACAATATAGGAATATCTACTTGCAGAATAAGGGACTTAGAAGATATTTTCTGCATTTGTTGGGAATAAATACATTTTTTAAAAGCAAATTTTATGTTTTTGCCTATCAAAGGCTAAATTTAGCCTATTGACTTGAGTGTATGCATTTGAAAAATGATTAGCTTCATCCCTGAACAGACTTATAAAGCATGCAACTAAGATAGAACCAAAATGAGTATTCAGGTAACAAATCTCATGGACAGAGGAGCCTGGTGGGCTACAGTCAGTGGGGTCTCAAGAGTCAGACATGACTTAATGACAACAAACTAGTCTGTATATTGCTTTTTTTTTACTTTCAAAGTAGAACTAAATTAAACTATAATTTCAAAATTAAGCCTTAAGCCAGAGTTGAATGAGACAGAAAAGCTACTGTGTATATTGTTACCTATGATTTAGCTCAGTTCAGTACAGTTACTCAGTCGTGTCCAACTCTTTGCGATCCCATGGACAGCAGCACGCCAGGCTTCCCTGTCCATCACCAACTCCCGAGTTTACTCAAACTCATGTCCATTGAGTCGGTGATGCCATCTAACCATCTCATCCTCTGTCATCCCCTTCTCCCGCCTCCAATCTTTCCCAGCATCAGGGTCTTTTCAAATGGGTCAGTTCTTCGCATCAGGTGGTCAAAGTATTGGAGTTTCAGCTTCAGCATCAGCCCTTCCAATGAATATTCAGGACTGATTTCCTTTAGGATGGACTGGTTGGATCTCCTTGCAGTCCAAGGGACTCTCAAGAGTCTTCTCCAACACCATAGTTCAAAAGCATCAATTCTCTAGCACTCAGCTTTTTTTATAGTCCAATTCTCACATCCATACATGACCACCTATGATTATGTACCAATAATCCAGAGAGCAGTACTGCACAGATTAAATTAAGTCTACCACTTTTATATAAGAATGTGGTCTATATCTACATGGAGGCTTGCCTGACCTGCCATACTTTTATAATTATACTACTATTTTAAGTATTTAGGTTCTACCAGGCCTCTTAAAGAAAATCATTCACTGATTTTGTGCAATACTGTCTGAGCAAATACTTAATGAGAAGTACATCTTACAGATTATGAGCAAGGAGTTGAGAAAAAACAAGTACAGTATAAAAGGTTCTACTAAAATTATATCATAGGGACTTCCCTGGCAGTTCAGTGATTAAGATTCTGCACTTCCCCTACAGGGGGCATGGGTTTGATTCCTGGCTGAGGAACTAAGATCCTGTATGTGGCACAGTGTGTCTTAAAAAAAACTCACAAAATTTGTATATTATAAAGAATTACTGAGAAAGGGCAATTAAGTAAAAACAGCTTTTATATGCACTTGGTTTATAGTTTAGTCATATTTGATATTAGTCAAAGGCTAGACTTTCTCAGCTTACCCGTGATTACAAAGGGGGTGTGTGATAAAGATTATTTCTTTTAAAACACCCCTTGTTGTTCAATCCATCTCAGTTTGGTGTCTCAGGAAATAATTACTGTTGGCCGAGTGTACAGACCATAGAGTAACAGCTTAAAGATGAGAGGATCAATCACACTGCAGCCACTTGTCTCATGTGAATGTATCATTGAAGAAACAAAACAGAAAACAAGAAGGAAGGAGTCTACTAATTAGGTCCTATGTCTTAAGTCTATTTAAAATAAAGTTTTAAAAATCTGTTTAGATTTCACTTACTTGCAATAAAGACTAACTTTTATATATGGGAATCTTCTAAACATTAAAATATATTATGGGTGTATGTGAACCAAGAAAATGAAAACCATGGTAGACTCGGAAGCCACATCTGGGACACAGGAATTTCAGGTTTTCAAGTGAGAAATCAAGTGTAACTTTCAGTTAAATACTGACATTAAAGCGTGTCTGCTTGTTTTTCTTACAAACCTATACAACTGTACTCATTGTTAGAAATAAACCTTTACTACCTAATAATGAGAAGATACAATTACTGTTTGAAAGCTTTACAAACCATAATGCCTCAAACAGGACTCAATAAGTAAAACCGAAAGAATATTAAAAGGAAACAAAGCAGAGAGATGTTGACATTTTTTCTCAAACACAGGGACTTCATCAATTCAGCTTGATTTGGATGATACAAGGTACCTTTTCAGGATAATTTTTAAATTAATCTACAGGTCTAATGAAAAGATTTAAAAATTGAGCAAGTTTACTATTAATTTGAACAGTGGGTAAAACCATAGCAGATTTTACCAGATAGATAGAACTACCTAGTCCTGGTTGTCTTCAGGTGCTAAAGGTGAGAGCAGGTATCAGGAAATATTAGTCACAGGTGTGCAAATTAACAGACCATATTCTTTAGTTAACCAGATTAAAAGTTATAAGTTACTGTTGACAATTATGTAGGTGCTTTACTTTCATCTCAGATGTCATTGTAAGACTGGGTTCTTATTGTAACTGAATAAAACCACCTAGTTAATTATTCTCTGGTTTCGGTGGCCAGAAGGAAGGAAGAGTGGACAGCACAGCCATGGTACGACGGTCTATTGGTCTATAACCATACTTTTCCCCCTCATTTGCTTTGACGGATCTAATGCCCCAGGCAAGAAATCAGTTGGGTTTCTAGAACTACAAAATGTAAAAGCTAATGACTTCTTTGCATTTAAGTTGATTAAGCAATTTAACATTTTACCTCATCTCAACTAAATCATCTGATGGAAAAGAGATACTGGAAAGCAGTACCTTTTTAGTTTCAAATTGTGCTTCCTCCTGACAGCACCCTCTACAGTCAGGGTCCAGCTGCAGAAGGCTGAACTGTCCAAGCAAGTCACAGGAGCTGCAGAGCAAGTTGCTGGAGAAACCCAACTCCCGGCAAGACTCTGAGGAAAACTCTGCTCCCAGCGCAGAGACCTGAAAACAAAAAATAAGGGGAAAGTCATCTTTACGTTACAAAGCTTCCAAAAAGAACAAGCTGGAGTTGTCAAAATCTAACACACATACTAGAGAGTCAGTGAAACGCCTCATTTGGAGACAATTTTAAAATTATTTTTAAACTCTGTAACCTTACGAGTCTTTGCTTCTTCCCATCTCCCCCAATTTTTCTTTTCTTAAAAACTTGCCATATTGCAGCTTGGCTAAGACATGGATTCACAAAAAAGATCATATATTATTTCTCTGTGATATACATACATATATATCTTGCCGAAAAATGAATTTTCATTTCAAGAACTTAGGATCTGCTTGCCCTCTCCTTCTGCTGTGCATCTCCTAAATGTTTCCCATTTCTATTTTTAGTCCTCTCTAATTTGCATATTTTCCTTGGAGAACTATGTCTTTTCCATGGCTTCAATTATTCATTTATTAAAAACTCTCAAGTCTTTTTTCTTAAGCTTCAAGCTTCCAACATCTTCTCATTTAGATGTGTAGGCACTGTAAATTCAAATTCTCCAACAGTGAAACATCTTTTAAAAATTTATTCCTTCCAATGTATTCATATTCAGAATATCTTAGCAAAATGGTACCATTTCCCCTGACTACCCAGTTGTCCAGGCCAGTCAGCCTAGACTCCACATTCTTCACCATTCTTAGAACCAAAAAAAGCAGAGACATTACTTTGCCAACAAAGGTCCATCTAGTCAAGGCTATGGTTTTTCCAATGGTCATGTATGCATGTGAGAGTTGGACTATAAAGAAAGCTGAGCGCCAAAGGATTAATGCTTTTGAATTGTGGTGTTGGAGAAGACTCGGGAGTCCCTTGGACTGCAAGGAGATCCAACCAACCAGTCCATCCTAAAGGAGATCAGTCCTGGGTGTTCATTGGAAGGACTACTGCTGAAGCTGAAACTTCAATACTTGGGCCACCTGATGTGAAGAGTTGACTCATTGGAAAAGACCCTGATGCTGGGAAAGATTGAGGGCAGGAGGAGAAGGGGAAGACAGAGGATGAGATGCCTGCATGGCATCACCAACTTGATGGACATGGGTTTGGGTGGACTCTGAGAGTTGGTGATGGACAGGGAGGCCTGGTGTGCTGCGGTTCATGGGGTCGCAAAGAGTCGGACACGACCGAGCGGCTGAACTGAACTAAGAACCAATCAATTAAGTTTTGACAATTTGAAGAGCTCTCAAGCCTCAAGTCTGTAAAAGAACTCTCAAATCTTTTCCTGCCTCAGTGGCTTAAATGGTCAGCTAGTCCTACTTCTCAAAACACCTCCAATCCCATTCTACTTTTCAGCTACAATGGATTCCTATAGTACCTGAAAATACAAAACCCTTACTCAAACATACATTTATTTGCTCATATTTTTTTACGCTAGGCTCTTTTATACCTTTCCACCTTGTTAAATTCTACTTATTTCCAAGAACTTGATCAGTATCAGTTTTCTTTGGAAGCCTTCTCTGAGAAAAAGCAGATTCCAATCTTTAGCCACTATCTTCTCTAAGAAATGTATGCATAGCTGTAAAACAGCACACCCATGACACTGCACTATGTAAACCTATGATTGTTTGATTCCCCAATAATACTGTGAACTCTTTCAAGGACAAGCATTAAGTTATTTCTTTTTGTATTTCCAGCACTTGGCTTTCCAGGTGGCACTAGTGGTAAAGAATTTGCCTGCCAATGCAGGAGACTTAAGAGATGGGAGTTTGATCCCAGGGTTGGGAAGATCCCCTGGAGGAGGGCATGGCAACCCACCCCAGTATTCTTGCCTGGAGAATCCCATGGAGAGAGGAGCCTGCTAGGCTACGGTCCATAAGATTGCAGAGAGTCAGACACAACTAAAGCGACTTTGCACAAAGGTACATGCTAGTTCTCAGGTGTGTTAAGCAGATGAATTGGTCAAAACCAGACTCAAGTAGGGGGAATTTCAGATTGACTGTAACGGGTTGATCTAGACCAAGAGTCTGCAAATTTTATGTGAAGAGTCCCATAGTAATTGTGTGAGGCTTGGGTGGCTATATAGTTTCCGTTGAACTATTCAACTCAGCTACTGCAGCACAAAATCAGTCACAGACAGTAATAAATGAATGTGTGTCTGTGTTCCAATAAAACTTCACTTACAAAAACAATGCTTGCTGGATTTGGCCCACCAGCTAATTAATCAAGTTGATAAAACCAAATGGCATATCTCGTTGTAAAAAAACTTTAAGTATTGCTGGCATACTCTTCCAAAATGCTAATCATCCCACTGGCCTTACATTAAGTCAACATCCTAATTTGATCCCTTATACAAACATCCTTTACCTTATCTAAGTAATAGTGGGCAGGATATATCATAATGTATCAAAATAGATCAAGTATACCAGTCTAGCCAGAGGGACCTAAGACCCTTGTTCCCATACTAATACTTTGAATACAGTTTATTTACTTGTAGAGTGATCTGCTTGATCTATTTCACAGGTTAATTTCTATTTCTCCAAAGATGGCCATACCAAAATATATATGTGATTGTGACTGGCAGGGGCTTGTGACTGTTCTTTCAAACAGTGTCAAGAAGTGATAATTATGTGATTTCTGAAGGTAGGCCATAAAAAGGAAGCCATCTCTGCCTGACGAGGGCTTGCAGGTGCCGTGTCTCTGTCTCTCTAAAATCCTCAGCTTTTAGCCACCATGCTGTCAGACAGCCTGAACTACAGAGAGAATGTGGAGAGGCCCACGCAGAGGACGGAGGCCTCCAGCTGACAAACAGCATCAACCACTAGATGTGTGAGTAAGAAGCCTTCGCACTTTAGTCTTCAGTCTCAGGCTGAGGTCTGAGACACCGTGGAACACACAGCCACAGTCGTGCCTGTCTGAATTGCTAACCCACAGAATCTGAAAGCAAAATAAACAATGGTTTTATACCACTAAATTTCAGGGTGATCTGTTTTGCAGCCATGGTAACTAAAATAGGCAATAAAAGTAAAATCACTTTGAAACAGTGAACTGCTAAACAAATGTAAGAAACTGTTACCAAAGCATGTTTTACAAAACAAGAATCTCAAATGAAAAATCATGGGCTCATAATACTTGGTTTTATTCTGGCATTTACTGAGCACCTACTGACAGGTAGAGTGAACATGCAAAACGTATTTGAGTCTGATGACACCGTGATTCAAATACCAACTCAGAGCAACCTTATTTCTGAATTTCTGAATAGGAATAATTACCACTTACTTCACAGAGTTTGGAGGATTAAAGGAGAAAAGGTACAGAAAGCATCTAGTATCCTGTCCAGTACACTGCCACTAAGTCGCTTCAGTCGTGTCCGACTGTGTGACCCAATAGACGGCAGCCCACCAGGCTCCACCAGTGAGTACTTAATAAATGTTAGAATTATTCCTACCTTCCACTGTGAAAACAAAAACACTATTTATATTTAAATCATTATAATAGACACGGGTTAGAGGTTAAGTGTAGGGTAGATAGAAGGTATCTTGAGTTTCATGAGGGAATCTTTTTTTCTACCATAATTCGTTTTTTTGCAGACTTAAGGCTTTGACTCAAATAAGAACATCAGAACATATATTAAAGCACTTTATAAGTACAAAATGCTAAATAATATTGGAGAGTTCAACTATAAATTACACCCACCCATCTTTTTATTACATAAAACTAACTGAATAGCATTTAAATGTGCACAGTAAGGTAAAATATTACATTTTATTTTTTGTTTTACTGTTATTATTATTATTTTTGGCTCTGCCATAGTGCTTATGGAATCTTAGTTCTCCAACCAAGGACTGAACCACACCCTTGGCAGTGAAAGCATGGAGGCCTGAATGACCAGGGAAATCCCCTAAATTTTATAATAATTAGCCACCCTTGTAAGAAAGACATGGATTTTAAGGACAGGGTGGGATAACCCTGATTGAGATAACTACTTAACAGTTTACAACTTTCTCCAATTCTAGGTAGGATTCACAGGCTAAAAGACAATGTGTCATTCATTTATTTTTCTGGTATTATTGTGTTCTTTAAAAACATGAGGGCTGTTGGCAGAGAAACTGTAATAACTATAATGGAATATTACCCCTTTGGGCAAAAGTCTGGTATTGCTATTCATTTTACTACACTTATACATTTACATGATTGTCTCTTTACTCAGAAAACTCACAGAGTTCTCACATAATAATTCTGAAAAGATTCAAATCTGAGATAAAAGCAAATACATGGGTTTACAGATTAGCCCCAAGAAAATAAGTACCAGAAACATGACGAGTCATAATGACAAGCTCTTACAAGCCACCAGACACTTTGTAAAGTGTTGCTAAACACTTTACATCATTATTTCATTTAATCTTATCCTCCTATGAACCAGGTATTATCCTCACCTTATAAAGAAGGAAACAAAAGCTTTAATTCCAGCCCACCCTCAAAACCCTTAACCACTGTTACTACCACCTTTCACAGAATCCATGATGTGCCATTATTGTATGTACTACTAAAAACAACAAACACGCTGACAGTTATGCCACTGACTCAAGTAAGAGCAATCCAGATGATAATCTGTGAAGAAAAGGGGATGGAGTGTGCTGTCTTAGAATCAGTGAAACAGAAACTCATTTTATACTCACTGCTTTCAGTACAGGACCTTTTGAATAAAGTAATATTACGTACAAGCAGAATGAAAAAATGGATACCACTTAGTTCTTGGAGACTCTAGAAAACAGCTCCCTTAGGCTACGCTATTTTTTTTTTAATGCTTAAGCATACTCAGAATGTATTTTCAGATTAAATCATTTTATATCCTCCCAGTTGTCACCTCATTGGAATGCTGATAACCATGAGCTGCTATTAACTCTATTTTTTCCTTAATTAATATATTTTATTGAAGTATAGTTGACTTACAATGTTTCAGGTACACAGCAAGGTGATTCAGTTCTTTATATATATATATATATATATAAATACACACACATATATTATTTTTCAGGTTATTTTCCATTATAGACTATTACAAGATATTGACTATAGTTCCCTGCGCTATACAGTAAACCTTTGTTGCTTGTTGCATATCTATTTTTTTAAAATTAGAAACCTAGCATTCTATTCATACTAAGACAAACAAGTAGAGTCAAAATGTCATAAGCTTTTCAGTTAGGCCAAAGTTTATAAGTTTTCTAGGGACTTCCCTGATGGCCCAGAGGTTAAAGAATCTGCCCTGCAATGTGGGGCACTTGGGTTAGACCCCTAGTCAGGAGACTAAGATCCCACATCCCGAGGAGCAACTGAGCCCATTTAGGCGCCTCAACTACTGAGCCCTCATTTGGCAAGTAAGATCCGAGGCAGACAAATAGATAAGTATGTTTTTTTTTTACAAAATCTGTTAAGTTTTCTCTAAGGAGAGAGAGGTTGGTGGCCTTAATGAAGATGACACCCAAATTTCTTTGGCGTGAATTCTGTGGATGATCACTTTGAAAGATTGTTTAATAACCATAAATTCCTCCTACCTTGTATGTATGCTTCTTTGCAATGTGACTATGTCACTCTTCTCATGCAGAGACGGAATCTATTTTCCTACCCTTGAATCCAGATTGGTCTTGTGATTTGCTTTGGCAAATATTGGGATGTGGAAGTGATGCGATTTCTGGGGCTAGGCTTCATGAGGCAATGCCGCTTTTGCTCTGTGTCTGGCCTTACTGGAGAATGAGAGGTCACATGAGGGAGACCTAAGTCACTCTAGCTGACAGCACCACTAAGTATGAAGCCATCTAGAACCCTTCAGTTCAGCTGACCTACTGGCTCAGTAAAGCAGTATAAATGAAAGAAAGTGAAGTCACTCAGTCGTGTCTGACTCTTTGCGACCCCATGGACAGTACCCTGCACCAGGCTCCTCTGTCCATGGGATTTTCTAGGCAAGAGTACTGGAGTGGGCTGCCATTTCCTTCTCCAGGGAATCTTCCAGACCCAGGGATTGAACTCAGGTCTCCCGCATTGTAGACAGACACGTTACCGTCTGAGCCACCAGGGCACCAGGGAAGGTATAAATGAGGCCAAAGGAAATCAACAGGGAAACTGCTCAACAGACACACAGAATCATGAGAAATCATTATTTTAAGCCATTAAGTGTAGGGGGTGCTTACACAGCCACAGATAATCAAGCAGTTAAAGAGATAATGGGATCAGAAGAAGTCAACTTGAAATGTTACTCTTTGTATTTTCATGGTGGTGAGTACAAATTATCTAAGACTGACAAAAAATTCTTGAGTACAAAGTTTAGAAAGGGGTCTTCCAGTAATTTCTAAGGCACCAAATGACTGAATAATGAAGTACTATAAAGTTAATGAGAGAAGTAAAGAATCCACCTTTTAGGTAAGGCTGTAAAAGTAAATAGGCCAGATCTTTAAACTCCTTAATGAAAGAAAAGCCCAGGTGTTTGTGGAGGCCTTCAGTAGAGACATTCAATCCTCCAAACCTTGAATAAATTAATTAAACCAGATCTCTAGAATACTCAACAGACTCAATACAGAGAACACTTGAAAAATTAGGCTGATAAAAGACACTTGTGAAAACTCCAAGTGTGGTGCCTATTAAAAAGTTTTATTATTCACAGTTAAACGAACTAAAAACTTCTAATTAGTCGTTTGTGAGTGAATAGGAAAATAAGTCGAAACTAGCCTCTCCCCATTCAAATGAAAAGAAGGTATCTCTTCTGTTAATGGATAAAAACGAAAAAAAAAAATTGGTTAGACAACGATCGATTTTAAGCGAGATGAAAGCTATCATTTTAGAAAATCAATTTCAAGAATAAATTATGCTTTAGTATGGAGTAGTTCCTTTTATTGCAACAGTGTTGTTTAAAAACCACAAATGATACTGAGGTGTACCCAGCGGCCTGTGAGTGCCAGAGAACAGAGGTAAAAAAGAGTGACAGAGAGACCACAAACAAATGACAGAAAGAAGTAAAAAGGAAGTGTACCCTGGACCAAAGACTTGAGGGCTTTCCTCTAAGACTTGAAAGGAAGCTTTGTCATAAAGACAATTCCTTGCATTTCTGCCAATTTAAAAACAATCTTCATTCCTTTGCAAAACTTAGTGCCTTTCCCGCCCCCCCGCTTTTACGGCGTGTCTTACAGACTGTACTTAAGATAGACTCAGGTCAGGAGAAGGAATCGCTAGGAACCCAGGGCGGGGAAAGATAATCGTCAAACGCGGAATAAAGCCACGTCGCACGCCGGCCGCAGCAACCGCTGGGGGAGCCCACCCTTTTCAGCTATGTCTCCCAAAAGGGACCGAATATTCCCTTCTCCTTAGCGCAATCCCTGTCGCTCGCCCTGGGGCTGCAGCAGAGGTGACCTCCACTCACCGTTTGAAGCACTGTCGCCAGCAGCAGTCGCAGCCCAAACGCCGCGCCAAGCCATCCATACGGCCGGGCCGCCATCACTGCCACCTTCCGTGGGTCTCCGGCGGCTCAGAAGACCCCTCTGCTAGGGGCGTCTACTCCAGAGCCTGATCCAAAACAGGCTGCTAGAGGCTGCTGCCATCAAGTCTCTTATTCTGAGGAGACGGGCATTAACTACGGGCATATGTAAGCTTAAAGGTGATCAAAAACTTTACACTTGATGTAAATATGAAGTCACTGGGTCCTTTCGATAATTCACATCAGGCATCTCCCTAAACTCCTCAAATCTGTGCTTCCCGGGCTCCTTCCTTTCATTCACGACATTTCCTTAAGCAGTCAATAAGCCCCGCCTTCGCCAGTTTCGGCCTGCCTCCTTCTCCAAGTTTACCCAATCGAATGCCGATTTGGTTGATACCTACGGCAAAGGAAACCAACCGTGACACGCACCAAGAGCGAAGCGCTGGAGTTCTTCGGTCCAATAAGCTCAACCGAAAGGGAGTAGAGGGCGGAGCCTCTGGTTGCCGAGCAGCGTACGTGGAGGCGTGCGCGTGGAGGCGGAGAGGGATGGGTAGGGGGCGGGGCCGAGGGCGGCGCAGCCGCAGCCGCAGAGCTGGCGGAGAAGCGCGCGGCCGAGAGCAAAGGAGGGAGGGAAGGAAGGAAGAGAAGGAGGAGGATAGGCAGGCGGGCGAGGGGGTCGGGGACTGAGGCAGTAGAAGGAGGCGAGAGCCCGGCAGCTGCTTCACGCTGTGTTTGCTGCACAGGCTTTTGGAGGGAGTCGGTCGAGGAGAAGCGGGCACCGGCGGCGTTGCTGCTGGCGCCTGGGGGCGGGGGACTGGGGAGGCGAGAAGGGGGGTCGCTGCGGTGGTTCTCTCGCTGTCGCGCTCTTCTTGCTTTTCTCCCGGCTCCGTGGGCTCCTCCCGGCGTCTCCCTCGCCCCCGGGGCCCCGATCCCCGCCCCCCGCGGTATGTCTTGATCCCGAGCAGCGGGTTTCATGGGGCTCCTCAGGATTATGATGCCGCCCAAGTTGCAGCTGCTGGCGGTGGTGGCCTTCGCGGTGGCGATGCTCTTCTTGGAGAACCAGATACAGAAACTGGAGGAGTCCCGGTCGAAGCTAGGTGAGGAGCCGGGTCACTCCGGGCTGAGTGGTGTGTGGAAGGGGCCAGGCTGGGGAGGCACTGCAAGCCGAGCAAGTGGGCGTTTATCTAACCTGATATCTGGCTTGGAGGCTGAAAGAGAACACAAACCCCTGGAATGGGGCGAATTAAGCTTGGGTGGTATGCTGGGTTCATGAGGTCAAGGGGCAGAGGTTGCAAGGTTGGACTTCCTAGAGCCAAAGGGTTACCCTGAAGTAGGCATTCCACGCGGCGAAAACAAGGGAAGATCGAATTCGTTGGGGAGCCGGTACTGACTGTTGGAGGAGACCGAAACGGTCAGGCTTGCCTGTTCTCTTAGAAGTCATATTGAAAGCTCCAGCAGTGTCAGGCAAGGGGTATTGTAATTTGAGATGTGAGCACCTCGATACTGAATCTTTTGGGAATGGGGAGGTTCGCGAAGATGCGCTGATATGGAGGGGAGATACTGGAGTGATGGTGTGTAAAAGAATTACATTGTAGTGAGTTGCACTCGAGCTGGGGGCAGCAAGGGACCGCACAACTGACGAGAGATATAGACTGTCCAGGTAGGACAGGAAAGCAAATAAAAAGCTCCCGTGAGGTTCTGAAACGAGGTATCCAGGCATTTAAATTATTTTTTAGTGGCGCTAAACTGGTATTTTGAGCTTAAGAACGGAGTTGTGTGTGTATGTTGCTTCGCGGCAGTGTTGGTGTAGTGAATTTAGAAGGGGAGGAAACGTTGAGGGGGAATTGCTATAATGAGATTTAAAGTTAACCAAAGGCAAAGTGCAGAAAGTTTGCCATATGGTTAAGTACCTTAAGAGTTAACAGTTGTTACTTTAATTGGGGGAGAGATCTGAAGTACAAAAAGTTGGAGTGTGATGTTGTGAAAGACCAGACGAATGCACAGATATGTACTTTCAGAGCAGTAAGGAACCTGTGGCATTTGGGAAGAGTTTGAATGGGGAGGGAGTGTTAAAAGGATGTCAGCAATACATTTTGATTTTTAAATGTACATGACACTTAAAAATCAACCCAAGAGGCTGTAATTTGAATGTGGAAAATAATGTTTAGTAAGTATATTTTATACACTTTCACCGCCGCATCATTTAAAATAAGTTTCGAAATGCAAACAAATAGGAGCGTTATAAGTTAGACTCAGAAGTAACATATGCTGCTGTCATGATTAATATTTTGGAAAAATCTATCAGAAAATAATTGTAATATTACAAATAATAGTTAGCCTTTGTAGTTTTGATACTTTGAAAAAAGCACTGGAGACTTTTAAAGTGCAGTTTATCAAAGAATATCAAATAAACAAGTGCAAATAAATTTGAAGATAGGGATAATTCCACTCTTCAACTCTAAGGTAAAACTTGCCCTGTGTAATTTTGAACAGATACCAGATTTATTTATTATGATTTTATTAATGTGTGTAGTATACGATGGAAAAATATTTACTTTAAATTTTGAAGGTTGGCCAATATACTCTTTTTGTTTGTACCATTTAGCAGCATTCATGGTCATATTCTAGTCTGGTTAATGATCCAGCTTTACAGAAAAAAAGACTCCTCTTCAAGAAAGTTGAAAATTATATTAAATTAAACTTTATATTTATTCTTTGTTGTATTGCTCTTTGAATTTCTTATACATATTATGGTGGGTTGGGATAACTTCAAATTTTAATTTTCCTTCCTTGTCTAACATTTTTTACCATAATAATTTAAATTGTTTTCTATAGGCACAACCTGAATGATTTTAAAAAGGTTTATTTGAGGATGCAGGAAGCCACAGGTAGTGGCTAGGTAGATAACGTGATTCTTTAAGACTTTTTACAAGAAAGAAACTCTTACATTTTGTTAGAAATAGTGAATATGGAATAAATGAAATAATTCTTAAAAAGGAGACTCATACAAAAAGCTAGAAGGAGCTAATAATAGAGATGTGGAATTGAATGAGTGATAGTCGTTCAGTCGTATTTGACTCTTTGAGACCCCATGGACTGTAAGCCTGCCACACTGTGTCCATGGAATGCTCCAGGCAAGAATACTGGAGTGGTTGCCATCTTCTTTTCCAGATGTAAAATTATGGCAAATAAAATGCATAGCTTCACATCAGCAGTCTTGACTTAAAAAAAGTCGTCTGGAACAGGCTGTATTAATGCAGATGTAAGTAATCTTCCTTAAGAAAGGAACACAGGAGGAGGTGTATTTTGACAATCAGACTCTGTATTAGACCCTTTCATATTTGCTATTCTTATTAGATCTTCCGAGAACACCATAGAAAGCCATTTTTACAGATGCGGGAACAAGTTCAAAAGTTATATAACTTGACCACATACCTAGTAAGTGGCAAAGTCATTCTTGGAACCCAGGTGTGTCTGATTTCAAATCATGTTCCCCTTTAATTGTACCAGGCTGCTTGGGACTTTATATTGACATTACACTAAGATGTAGTGGTTTGAATAGAATTTTTAAACTAGCACCAATGTTTAATTGCATTTATTGTCAAGAATGAATATCATTCTTAGAAAATTGAATTTCTGACACAAAGGAATTAGTTTAGTGTAATGTCTGTTGCTTGTTTATACCCATGTAATGAACATAATTATATTATCTAATGAAAGGACTGAAATAGCTTACTTTTGCTACAGGGGGGAAAAAAATTGTCGTTGTTTTCTGTAAGTGTAAAATCACAAACAATCAAAGCATTTTTATTTTGCCATCAGAAAAGCTTAAACACACAATTTTCACTTTTCAGAAACTTTTGTGGTGTCATCTGTCACACAGAATTTTGACTTAAAGTGTTGTCATATTTATTAAATCTTGCATTTATGGCTTAAAAAAAAGAAAAACTTAAACATTAAGTATGTCAACAGGAATTCCTAAAAACCAGTGTCACATAACAGAGTTATTTTTTTTTCCAGTGAATATTGAATGACAGTATACATAATACTGGCTTTGCATCTTGCTTTTTTCATTTAAAGTCAGAGAACATCTTTCCAAGTAAAAAAATATATATTTGACTTACTCATTTTAATAGCTGTATAACATTCCACAGTATGCATGAGTCATAAATTCTTAAGCCATTATGCCAATAGTGAACATTCAGTTTATCCCCCTTCACACACTTTTTTTAAACTGTTTTATTTCTTAATATTATAAAACAATGTTACAAGAAACATGCTTATATTAGTTTAATTCTTTATTTGTTGGTACTATTTTCAGTAGGATAAATTTTAATAAGGGATTGCTGAGACAAAAGATATATATATTTTGTAATTTAACAGATTTAAAAATCTGTTACTTCCCCCCAAATTTATTAATTTATTTCCCAAGGGTTATAATAATGTGTGCTGTCAGCATACACACAAGCACAGGATATTGTCAGCTTTTAATTTTTGCTAGCACTTAATTTTTTCCTAAAGGTGTGAAATAGTATGTTGCATTAATTTATGTTTCCTTGACTTCTAATTAAGTTGAACATAATTTACTTGTTCATTTTCATGTCTGTTGGGTAGTATTTTATCTTACCAATTTTTAGGGTTTAAAAAAGATGTTAGATGTAGTAATCATTTATCTGTTGTATCTTGTATCTGTTTTTCTCCAGTTCTGTCATTTGTCCCTTGACTTTACGGTGTATGGAAGTTAAAAATTTTATGTAGTCAAATCTATCAATTTAGGCAAGTAGGTGCCTTACATTGCTTGAGAAGTCTTCCCCCAACCAAGATTGTGTTGTTATTCTCTATATTTTGTTAGTGTTTTATAGCTTATATTTTTACATTTAGCTCTTTAAAGCAGTCATATGTTTATTGTAATTTCTCTCAGTGAATGGCCACTTATGGCAAATATTATATTAATGATTCATCTTTTTTTTCCTTCTCTGTATGTTACAGTTCTTGTTTTAGTCAC